ATTCAATTTTATTCCAATAAATCGCGCGGCGCGGTAAAATCGAAAAGAGTCGGCAGAAAAGTTAATGGGGAAGGCTTGCAATTTCCGCGACGTACGTCCCAGTCACGTCGTCATATAGTCAAAGGCGTCTGCGATATAGCGCATATCACCGATATTTTTCATGGAAATTGCCGAGCAATAGCGGAAGAAAAGAATGGGGAAAGCAATACGCCGAAGAATAGAAAAGGAGAGGGGAGGGAGGGCATGCAAACGTAAAAAGGCGACGTGTTGGGGTGCAGCGAGTCTATTAACGTTGAACTGTATTTAGCTTGCGGGCTTGGCGCGATCATTTGGAAGGATTATCAACGATGTAGAAGTCAAACGTCCAATTAACCTCTCCCTCCCCCACTCCTACTTGCTAAAAGACCGCAAGGGTGCGGTGATCGAGTAACTACCCGATAAAGCCGTGGCTTCTCCACACGGACACACACCGCGAGAAAATAATTAACTATGTTTGTTTCTACTATGTTGGTAAATCCCTCGTCCTACATCAGCCCTTGCAAGCGGCCACGTGAATCTTCATCCTATCTAGACAGTCTGCGCAGAGATGTCCTGATTTGACGTGGCAGATGCAGGTTCTCTGTCATGTCAGTCTGTTCCGTCCTGTCCATACGCGCTATTGTGCGTGCGATCGCATACATTAGATCTACTAGATTTTGGAGAATTGAAATACGAGAACTGTTTCGAGAAAAACGAATGAAATTTAGAAAGGAGACGTCTCAATGATCAGACGTTCTCCAAAGTAACTATGAGCAATTTGTAATATAAATTATTTTTCATTAAAAATATGTTTATATAAATATAAAAAAATATGAAACATGATTTAACTTATTTACAAAAAATCATATTAAAATCATAGATATTTAAATGTACAAGTAATTTCTGGGTTCTTTTAATTATAGAAATGTCGATTCGACCTTTTATACTTTATGCATGTTCTTGTCGTTGCAAAGTCAAATCTGTCTGCATTAATTCTCAGTTCAAAGAAGCTTGCTGAGAGATCGACATTTCGAGTAGGCTTGAACTTCGATTCATCGACAAATGTGTCTATCTATTTTACTTTCTCGAAGAAGAATTAATTTTTCATTCAAATAACTGACGTATATTTATTTTTGATTAGAGAAAATAATTTTTTATTTAACTTATTTCTTCCAAATAAATCGATTAATTAAAAAAATGTTTCCAATAATTAAACAGAGGCAATGATTTCCTCCTCGTAATGGGAAAATTGAAGATAGATTAATACTATTATTAGCAAAAAAGTTAAAATAAGCAAGTGACCATCACTTTTAATTAAAGTCACTCTTCATAATAAAAGTTTCCTTTTTCAGGAATTGACTGAAAATAAAAGCTTATATTTCAAGATTTGTTTCTCTTAATCTCATTACATATACCTAATGTTACTTTCAATAAAATTTCCTAATGTTACTTTCGCGTCATTGGAAGATGTAAAAAATTTACAAAAATCGCGATTACATGACCGAGTTCTATCTATTAAAACAATGCGCTTGGCCTTTCATATTACCGCTTGTTGCGTCCCGCAACCGCGCGCGATGCAAGAGCTGTCATCGGCGTCCTAGAAACAACTTCGGTAACACAGGAAGCGGGATATTAGTGAACAATGGTGGCCATAATGCTTCCTGCCGGTTATAACGCCGAGTTATACCTGCCTGCAACTTGAGTCAAGCGCAAACCTAGGATTGGATGGCAGACAATTTAAGCTCGGCTTACGATTTAAACAACGGTTGCTGTACAAGCGGGCCTCCATCCACCATTCCCGGCCCCCACCCCGTTTAAACACTCTTACAACCACCCCAAATGTGGTATGGATTAATTCATTCAACGTCCCTATCTGCATCCGGGAAGGGGCTTTTAGGCGCTTAAAGCGGGAAATAAATCTATCCCGCGCGGCGAGTCTCACCGAGATCGCAGCAGCAAAGAATCTAAATTGCGGTTGCCGTTGTAATCCATCGTTGTCACCCGCGCGAAATAAATGATATCCGTAATTGTACGTACCGTACATTTTATTAAGCTGGCCATTGTTCGTCGCCGAAAGTAAACTGTCTAGTGGTGCGTATTTCCGCGTCGTATATTTTTGCGCTGAATGTGGCCGTCCGACTTCCGCTTCATGTTACATAGGAACACGTTCTTCAGACTGGAGAAATGAGAGTTGAATCAGTATCTGATCACAATCATATTTCGCGCTAAAGCAATAATGGTTCACACTATATATAAGTTCCCGATCTAGCGCCGATAGGATTTTGAAAAGCAAAACGCCCAAGAAATTCACACACGAGCTACGCGAAATCTCGGAAAATTTTCGCACTACTTGGTATTACTTGGTATTACTTGGTATAAGCGATAATAATTCCATAACTTGCAATGCACTTTCGGCTCTGAACTGTGAAATAATAGTCGCTCTGCTAACTTAGCGTTACGTCAAAAGTTCTGGCAAACGTTTAACATACGTCCGACGCGCTATTTATGGCCCATGAAATATTTCTACGTTACTAATTGTGCCTTGAAGCTTGAATTCATAATGCTCATTCTCCTCCGGCGCCGCAGGTATTCCCTGCCCTCTTTGTGCCTCGCGGGAACTTAAAAAGAAAGATATGCAAGGGGCGTTAAATAAATTTACACCTTCAGTTACTCTCTCGCGCGTCGCGCAAAGGTGCGCGTGACCTGATTATTTTTCTTTTTTTCCTCTCTTTTAAATCGCGGATTTACGATATCGCGAAATTCATTTGTAACCTTTACGACGGCCCTAATGAGAGACTTTCGTGTCCAACGTTAAATCGCTTTCTTGTGTTTTCACTCACGGGAATGAGCTTTCCCTCGCGAAAAATTATAACGCCTAATGATACGTCGAGAGATTAATGTTATATAAATCATAAACGTTATAAATTATATTAATAGACTAATTAACGAGCATCGGACTCACCATTAATCATAGCAAGAAATGCAAAGTCTACAGAAAAAAAATGCCAAACATATAGCTCTTGACGAGAAAAAAATTGATAGAATGCTAATATCGAGAAGAGACCAGGCTCCGTCGAGAATCATATGATCGTGTCGGAAAATTAGAACAGCCAACCAGACCGCGTGCCGCTCTTCTCGCGCTGGTTTATCCTCGGTGCTTTTAATTTCGTAAATCCACTGTACGCCGAGCTCTTTATATCCGCGAGGGGCATAATTATCCACAAGAGGTGGGAGGCATTGAATATTTTAGCTCTCGCTCCTCGCATCGTCGACCTCCCTTTTCCTGCCTCTTCTCCTCCTCTTTGGCTTCGTACTAACACTTCTCGTTCCGTAACGAAAATAAAAACGGATAAGCAGAGAAGCGGAAGGAGGCTCGCGACTCGAAAACCGAGAATGGGAAGGATCCTTTTCTCGTCCGAAGTCTTACGGCTCTGGGATTAGGTGGAAAAGTTACGCGAGGCATTTTGCGGCTTTGCATAAGTTCCGAGACTATCTCGTTTCCTTTCGTCCGCGTTGTTTCGTATTCCGTCTCTATGTTTCGCGATGCACATTTCGGACGTATGTCCGATAAAAATACAGGATCGCGTATTATTCTATACCGTAATCCGACAGGCTATTTTGCTTCTAATATAATGCCATAAAGTATATTACTACATGGCTGATTCACGATTCAATAATCGTGAGTGAATAGTCATGAGCTCGTATAAAGAATAATTTTGGCAAAACAGAAAAAAAAAAGAACAAAATTTTGTTCTTTTAAATTGGTGGACATATAACGAGTAATCTGCGATCTTAAAAATTAATTTACTTAAAATATATTTTTACAGTTATATTTAATAATAAAATTTCTATTCCGAATTTGTAAAAGTTAGCAAATCCATTTTCTTATATAATTAATGTGAAAAAAATATTAAAATATAAATTCGTGCAACAGAATCTTAAAGTGAGAAGTATTCATCATTTTGACAGCCAGCGAACCTAGTTTATCGTTATAATTAATACGAGAGACGATATCGCGATATGATGCATGTGAATGATTCAAGGTGTAATGTTGGTTTCGTCATGCTGTAAAAGTCAGCAAATTTATTTTATCGTTATAGTTAATATGAAGAGGGGACGGCCGACGAAAATGAATTGCATCGTTATGCAAATGTCTTCTGAGTGCATAATCAATGTGATATATCCCGAATGTATCTTTTTTATGTAATATTATTATATGCAGATATTTCAGATAATTTAATTTGTTATTTAGGAGATATTTCCATAAAAGTCGTTTTGGTACTCGCGTGTCTGATAGTGGCGAATTGATGAAATTATCACTTCGATTTCGAGGGAAGATTTCGTGAGTGATCTTCGGCGAGTCCATCTTTACAATCCGTGCACGTCTGATATAAAGTATCTCACGTTGTTGGAACGATGGAAAAAAAAACCGGAGGATCTGTCTTTCGTGACGCGTTTCGCCTCCCGAACACAATTCCGCGCAGCCGGTGTTCAAGAATGAGGTATAAACCGTTGATAAATGATCACGGCAGAAAGAACAGCCTCGTAATTGTAGTCTTATTAATGGCTCACAACTGCACGCTGTAACGACCTGTAGCTATAACACGCATCTCGTTTGTATCTCGTAACCGTAATCTGCCAATTTACAGCGTGAAATCGCTTGTAACACGAAAACGTGCACGAAGGTATTCAAATAGCAAGAGCGTGAAAAACAAAATGTCCAGAATAAATCCTCAATTGCTTCGAAAAGACAAATTCGTTTTGATTTATCCAAGAAATTACACTTACTTATCATAATTTCTCATAATCATGGCCCTAAATAAATTTTTTCCAAGACTCCATTCAACATAGATTAACTTTTATATTGTTAATTCTTTTTAGAAGAGAATTTAAAATGTATTAAAAATAAATTAAAATATATTAAAAATAAATTCTTTTGCACTGATATATATTTTATTAAATATATGAATGTTTTGTTTTAGAATGTCCCGGGGCCAAGGAGGATGGTCCGACGAGCCTTGCACTTCCGGTAGTGCAAGTCGTCGCGGTGGAACACGACAAACAGCGGGATCATCTTCGAGAACGTCAACTTCCGTTTTGGAGGAACGCGCTTCCGGCACCACGCCGTGTAAAGGTGGCTTCAGATTAGGAGTCTACGGCTGGAGAAAGAGATGTCTTTATTCTCTCGTGTTGACCCTTATGGTCATCGTTATTCTCAACCTCGCCCTTACCGTTTGGCTCCTTAAGGTCATGGGATTTAGTTCCGTAAGTTTATAAATTAATAAAATATCATTACCATACAGATTAATTTCGTTACGCGATTATAAAGTTCATCATCATTGTTCATCATCATAGCTTTTTTAATAAAAATTTGAAAAAGAAAAGATATAGTAACTAAATTTGACTTATCCATTAATTTGACAATTTCGTATGTCTGGCAAATCTTGCGGTGAATATACGAGAAATAATATATATCGTACGACGAAAACGGAGAAACGCACTTCGGTCCAGAACGATCCCTTTCGATTAGAGTCTCCCCCAAGTTTGATCTAGATGAGGACATGTGTAACTTTTCGACAGTCATTAAAGTCGACTTCTGTCTTGCGGCTTAGAATTAGTTTCGCGCGAGTTCCTGAGCCCGAATAACAGGCCTCGACGAGGGTGAGGATCGTACGAGGGTGGTATGCGAACGGGGTGCATCGCTTTGAGAGTGGCGGAAATACGAAGCGTGAAGATGGTTAATATAATTCGCCGTAATTGCCGGAATTGTTACATCGGCGTCGTCGCTATATCCGTCGCGGAAAATTATCGTTTGCACTTCATACTTCTTCTTCCCTCGGACTTAATTCAGACGCGTTACAATTACCCGTCCCCGGAATCGACCGAGGTTCATTAGTAAGTAAGTCGGCGACGTTCGAACGTTCTCCTTCGCTCCTCGCAATCCCGGGAAAACGCGGCCCGTACCAACTTCTTGATTGCGATAATGGCTGTAATGTAAAGGTCGTTTCGATGTAAATGTCTATGTCGCGCGCGAGTACCAGGATACGACTTTCCTAAGTTAGCGGAATACATTTAACGATTTCAAATCGAACGAGAAATCATATGTATATCCAAATGCGTCAATTTTGATACTGCGAATTTTCGCAATTTTTCCCGAAATTTTTTCAATAATATTTATATTTGAGATCAAATGTCTAGGCAATAAAGAAGTTAAAATTCTATTACGATATTCATTTAAAATTGAGAGAAGATTGCACCTTACTACATAAATCTTGAAAGAATAGTTCGAATAATGCAGCTCACAATCATCTGTAGCACATGATCTGATTTACGCGCACAGAGATCCGCATAAATTCCTCCAATCCACTTTAACACCTAGTCACATAATCGTACCGATGCTTTCGCTTCTGCAAATCGTCATTCCTACGTATCTAAATGGATGCAACAATAGTATTGGGATTCGTTGCTAAGCTGGCGCCTAGTCCGCTCGATTAAGGCAAAAAACGATCGTGAGTCTCTCCAACCCTCGTAACCGTCTCTCGCGCTCCCATTGAGCTGCAGCTACCTATTCCCCATTATCGAATTTATTCGAAATCGAAAGGAGCTCCCGCGATCTGGCGCAATGATCCCTCGATGGGGGCTAAACTCGGTGGAAATTGAGTATCAATCCGTAAGTAAGGAGCCCGGGAGCAGCAGGGATACCCCGTGGGAAATGTAAGTCTCTGCCACTTCTTTCCCCATCCCTCGTCACCCTTCCAGACCTCTCCTTTCTCTTTCTCTCTCTTATTCCCTACGCTATCTTTTTCGTTTTACTTCGTTTCTATCCCCTATACGATAGTTCGCCAACCCCTTGCCACTCTTTCATTCCCATCCCACGTCCTATCTTCTCACAGTGATTCTCTCATTTGATCTCCCACTCGGTTTTTCTCTGGCTCTTCTTCTCTCTGCTTTTCTCTTTTTCTCAGGACATCCTTCAGCCCAGCCAATACCGCTCGGTTTGTCGATTCGCGCCGAAAACTTCTCCTAGCATGCCGTTCTCTGTTTCTTTCTCTCTCCTTTGTCTGTCGTAAGTCGTAATTAGCAGCGGTAATTAAATTCTCATTTATCGGCCGGTACTCACGCCGATAACTCATGTCCGATTAATTGTGCGACTCGGTAAATCAGCGAGACAATCAATTAGGAGTTCAGGCGCGTTAATTATTGCGCACAGCCGGGCTGCGGGTTGCTGCGATCATCGATTTACGAGGATTCGCGGTGAGAAATCCGACGTTGGCGATGATAACCGATATAAACCGACATATCTCAAGAGAGTCGGATGTAAAATTCGACATGTCCGCGAATCGGACGACCGCGAAATATAGATATACGACTCATGCGCTGCAATTTCATACACTTCGTGCACTGAGTAAAAAGGTAAGAATGTAATCTTGTAGAGCGATATATATGAAATTTTACGCGTGAAAAATAGATAGATTTTGACATATAAACGGATTGAGCAAGCAAATCGAAACTAATAAAATCGTAATATAATCGTACTATTTTTGCTCAATTTAGACGAAATTGATTTTGAAAAACGTAGAAAATGTGTTACCAGAAATTTCAATATGACATTTTAAACACTATATATACGATTTTTATTACCAAAAATATTTTTGGTGATTTCAAAATTTTGGGACATTAGGTAAAACGAGTGAAATGTACATGAGCATATGATGTACATTATATTTCGCGTAACATATGTAAGAAAGATTAAAGGACCAAAATAGAAGAAAGTACTTGAAATTAAGATATATTCTGTATTTTTCTGTATTTTTTAATACAATCTGCGTTTGCGCAGATACAAACCTGGAAGAACCGACATGTTTCGGGTTATTTCTACGAAATAACTCGAAACAACACAAATTACACGACGTTATTTTATACGGCATTATACAAAATGTCTCGAAACGCTATTTGATCCAAAACTTTTCTCACAAATGTTGCAATAACACTTTAAAAAGTAATACTTTAATTACACCACATTAGCAATTACGTTATTAAAACTGAAATTTAAAGTATCTTGGTGAATTAAACAGATGTGAAATTTTATTTTTATCTATTTTTTTTGCTTCCCTTGAAACGCTCCATGTATCGTCCGTACTGCGAAAAACGTAAATGCGAGTTTCGGCAATACGTATCCATTATGATGTGTAAAAACTGACGTCATAGTGGTTATGAGCACTGAAACCACGAGTCACGGGGTGTTACGTGGAATCGGGAGCTGAAACTCCTCGGAACTCGGTTGATACCCATCTGGAAGTTTTCCGCTTCTATGCGAGGTGTTCCTAGACGAGTGAAAGCGCGATGCACTCCCGGACCGGGAAATATTTCATGCTCACCGTACTTCTCCCCTTTATCCACCTCATCCTCTCCGATTCATATTTGATGAGAGTCTCGGTCTGCCTCCCGCTGCCTCTTTTCACTCTCGAGTTATCCCGTCTCGGCCAACCTCGACCGACGTTTCTTCTTCCCGCTCGTCCTCCACCGCAAACGATACCGCGAAGAAATTAAATCATTTTTCTCAATTAAGAAAACCGTCTTGCTCGTTGTGCGCTCTCATAACTGCGAAACTTTCGCCCCGGCGGAATTAATTAAGAGCCCCTCGATTTGCGTGCGTTTTATTAATGAAGTCTGGTTTTGCGATCGATGTTACCGATGTTAATAATTACACGTATGGCTAACGAGTTCTCAACATATTCATTCGCGAATCACATGAAACATCTTGGAGGCGCATTTTGGAGGCGTCGAGTCGCTTTCCCGACAAAGTTAGAACTGATTTTCTTTTCTAGTGGAAAATTAAACGTCTGATATCTTTTCGCAACTTTAAGTATCTTGACGGTTAAGCTTCTTATAATTTGAGAAACTTCCTTCATTTATCATTTACGTTTTACACCATCCGAGATTTTGCTTCATCAATTTTTAATACTCTTGCGTTTACGTTATATATATCGTCAAGTTTTACTTGCAATTTTCAACTGCGTATTTTGGTGTGCACTTTTCCCGATTGTTTGCATTTTTACAGCGGTACAAAAAGTGTACTTTTCCCTACAAGGCACTTTGTCGCTCACGAGTATCAATATTTCGGGTTCCTTTCGGGATTCCTATCAAGTGGAGAGGTCTTAGGAGAGATCTTCGATTACGGACAATATATAATACACCCTGAAACGTTATGTCGGACGGAGCGATATACGGACACTATATTGGCACTAACGGCTTACATACATGGCCATAGCGAACAGATGCCCCTTCCACCTAATATCGCTTGCGGGACCTTACCCTCTATAACCCTTGTATCCATAGAGAATTCACCTGTATACATTCCTTCGTACATCCCCTTCGAAGATACATATTGCACACACGCCCTCCACACCCATACAAGGTGGCTCCTTTCGCAGCATCCCTTCTACACAGAATCAATTGAAATCCATGTCTACAAATGAATACTCGGCCACTCAAGTCGGAGATGTACATTCATGTACATCTCCGATAACTTATATATAACTTATATAACTTATATAACCACGTCTAAAATCAACGTTTCTTTACATTTTAATATTACAGTGACGTTATCACGAGAAAGACAAAAGAAAATTTTTATCATTACAGAAAATTTTAAGAGTGTAAAATAATAAAAATAATATTTCTCTGATTTTTCAAAATTAAAGATTTTTATTAAAAGAAGACATTAAAAAATTTAATCGATTGTTCAAATTGATCAAATATATTTAATATTTAATTTTATTATATGTGTGGTTATTATCACGCTAAAGTAATTTAATTGAAATTCAATATAGTCTCTATAACAGATTTTTTATAAAGAGAATTCTCATAGATACATTTACATGAGTGAGTAGATACAGAAACTTCTAATTCAGAGTATAAAAACAATAAATTTATATAAATTGAATGATCAGATCAAATATCTATTTCATGAGATTCTATTGCACATTTTTAGAATGAAAAATAAAAATATATAATAAAATATATAATAATAAGCATCAATAACTTTCCGCGGCTAAAAGATTTTCGGAAAAATTCTATCGCGAATGTTTTGTGTATTTGAAAACGCGGGTGGTCACCCTATATACATTATATAATATATATATATATATATATATATATATATAG